ATGCCTGCAATGTCTTGTAGTACAGTGCATGTTGCACAACCGGGCGCGCTCAGGGACGCCTTACTCGAGGATGGAAGACACATGATAGTGCTGCTAATATAAGTCTCCTGTATGCATACACAGACTTGTGCACTTTAACCTGGCTGTGGGGACATAAGTGCGTCATCAAAAACTATGGGACCGTACCATCATCGGGGTATGGAGATGCAAGTAACTGAGTCATTTCAACTCCCCTCGAAACTAAGTGCCACTAATTAGCTAACTGGTACATTGTGACGTAGTGCGTTTGCTATATTATCGTCGACCAGTCGTCGAACATGTGCGATCTAAATATCTTTCCGGCCTAAGCCATTCAATAATCCCTGGGTTTTCTAGGTGAATAGGACACAGGGCAACACGTCTTTTCTATGCTTTCTCTTTTTCTGAAAATGGTCTTCATCGATATCTTTTTGAACTGCAAGAAAAGAATCATTTACATGGCAAATAATGCAGAGGCAATATTGGATCAGTAAACGGGACTGATACTGAAGAAAAATGAATGGTGATTGGCGTATTCGGTTTTTCTCTTTTTTTTTTTTTCTGTCTGACTATCACTCACTCGAAAACTTCATAAATTCACGTCTTTTTAGATAAGTCAACAAACTAAAAAAGTAAAGCTAACATAGAATTAATTATGTGATCTGCACGCTTTTCTCAGACTTTGTTAACCGCTGCTGAAATGGAAGTAGTGCCAGTTTAACATCGCGTTATTTCGATATGAAAGAAATTTGAGAATTCGTCGACTCAGAAGAGGCAAAAGTCATATTCGTACTTATGATAAAAGGTAATTAATTCTCATTGATTTGTCCAGCTGGCCACGACGGACTAACTTTGAAATAGTTATATTCAGATGTGTCGATGTCTAATCTGGAAAATAGCACATAATTTCAGGGCTTTTGGTGGTTTTACCCATTCTCGATAATTTATCAATGCTAAAATAAAATTTCAAGAAAAGCCTCCATCTGCCTATTGACATCATAATTGTTTATTTCTGGGAAAAATCGCAAGAGTAAGGCGATCAGTTGTTTTCCATCGAAAATCGAGCAAAGAAGAGAAAAACACGCGGGATTGAACATCATACCTGCGATGGAAGTTGAAGATGTCATTAACAAAACGTTTTACCACGAAATGTAAATTAAAGATTTTCTTACCTTACAGGATATCTTCGTATGATGCACGATCCTCGCAGTAGATAGCGCTATTTATGCAATAGCGAAAATCAGACCTGAAAAAAATCAGGCCTGTACGGGACTAGAACCACTGATCTCTGCGATACTAGTGCAGCGCTCTACCAATTGAGCTAACAAGGATATCTTCGGTTATTATGGTATGTTCTCCTCGACCTATTAGAGAGCGAAAGAAGGTCGTCAATATATACTTTTTTAAATATTTGTAACGCTTTTCGAGACTATACAACAAAAAGGATCGAGGCCTCCTTAGACGGAATGGAACGTAAGGTGTAACCAGTCATTACGGACTTCTGCAGGAACCCACGAATTAAAAACAAAAGGTTTTCGTTACACTTTTGTACCTTTCGGGATGTCTAACGGTCATTTCCACGCTCCCACACAGATTAAGGATCACGTCGACCCATCAAGGAAAGAAAAAAGGTTGGCAGACAGACAAGTTTAAAGGAGCTTTTTTGGCTCCACAGTTTATAAAACGTGAAGGTGTAGTCTGATCGTCCAGGTGAGTGTAGTCCTGAGAAGGACTGTTGTCGGTGGTAGTGACTGACGTTTCGACAACCTGTGCTGAAGTCATCATCAGAGTCAAGTGAATGATTGTTGTCAGTAGAATGTTCTTATTCCAGTTCGTGTGAAATGATCGGTTGGTTTTGCCGTGATGTTATTGGCTGTAAGACTCAAGTGACGTAAGTCGGTCGTGATTGGTCTGTTTCGATCTGTCGGTAAAGTTAGGTCGTTCTTTTTCGGTCGTTTGTGATGTTTATGTCGTGAATGAGTCGTTTGTATGGAGCGGGTAGTTGTTGACATCTGTTTAGGGGAGTCTGTTCTAAGTTAGTAAACCAGCTTTCCAGAGTCAGTCGTTGAAAATAGTCAGTGCTGTAGGTTAGGCATTGCGCAGAGTCCCAGTCAATGTTGTGGTTGGTAAGTCGATGGTGTTCAGCAATGTGATTGCTGACATCACCTTTCCTCGTCGCCCGTCTGTGTTCAGTCAGTCTTGTTGTGAGGTTTCTGCCAGTCTCACCGATGTAGGAGGCTTGGCAGTCGGAACAATTGATCTTATAAATCGTTCCCTGTCTGTTCCTCGGTTCGTCTTTGTCTTTAACGTTGGTTAGTAACTGACGTAGTGTGGTGATGGGTTTGTGGGCGACGCGGATATTGAAGGGTAGTAAGATGCGCGAGATGTTTTCAGACAT